ATGCCCAGAGTTCATATCGTTAGTCCAGCTCATGATGGACCGGAAAGAGCTGGAATTTTACGAGGAAATTCAAGATTCTTCGAAAGAAGATGTTTGCACTACCGAAGAATCATCCGACAAGAGGTATGGCAGGGGTGGTCCTCTGATAATTACCCCTAAATAGAAGACGACAACAACAACACAAGCCAGGATGGTGATCACAACACCTCGACCTTTTCAATACAAGGACAATCGACAAGTGCCATGGAAGTACGAATGCCAATTGAGTACTTCTAAAGGATGTGATGGCAAAGTGGGACAAAGACCACTTGAGCCATTCAAAGAAGATGTGTTAGCTGTCAACGAGCCCATAAAGGAGGAAGAAGCTAAAGAGTTCCTCAAGATCTTGAAGTACAACGAGTACAACATTGTAGAACAACTCCATAACTTACCTACGCGTACTTCAATGCTAGCACTATTTTTAAACTCGGAGGCATACCGAGAAGCATTGTTAAAAGTCCTTAATCAAACGTTCGTGCCACAAGACATACCAGTCAGTAAGATGGATCGACTGGTAAACAATATTCAAGCTGATAATCTCATATCGTTTTCAGATGATGAGATTCCATCCGGAGGAAGAGACCGAACAAAGGAGTTACACATTACCACCTACTGTAAGGGGCACGCTTTACCAAGTGTCTTGATCGATAAGGCTCAGCCTTGAACGTGATGCCTTTGGTGACACTGAAAAGGCTGCCAATAGATACCTCACATATGAGAGCCTGCCAGAATATGGTCTGAGCATTTGATGGGACTAAAAAAGAGGTTATTGGCAAGATCGAGGTACCGTTGACCATTGGACCAGCCACCTATGATGTTGAATTTCTTGTGATGGATATCAGGCTGTCCTACAGCTATCTTTTGGGAAGGCCATGGATTTATCAAGTAGGTGCAGTACCCTCCACGCTGCACTAAAAAGTTAAATTTGTTATTGATGGGGCCCTGGTAATCATTAATACTGAGGAAGATATCATTGCAAGTGTAACCACGGAGGCCCCATACATCAAAGTAGATGAAGAAGCGGTGGAGTGCTCATTCCGCTCCTTGGAATTTGTGAATGCCACATTCGTGGCAGAGGGAAAGAAGATTTCTAAACCTCGACTCTCCAAATACACAAAGATGGATATCAATCAAACCTTAAGACGATGTGCTAAAATTAGAAGAGGGTTTGGGAAACAGTTACAAGGGAGGATTAATCCAGTCCTTCCCATTTCAAAGCTAGATTAGTTTGGGCTCGGTTTTCAGCCCAGTTATCAGGAAAAGAGGAAAGAGATCCAAAAGAGTCGGGAGAGGAGATTAGCAAGGTTGGCTAGAAATGAATTCCAATGGAAGCCTATGACATTCCCGCCTCTTTACAAAACATTCAAGTCAGGTGGTTATGTGTTTGAAACCACCATATCTGAGTTAGAAGTGACTCTGAAAGATCTTAATATCAATGCCATGACCACAGAAGATGTTGACAACGAAGATATATCTGGGATATGCCCTCTGCCACCTGGGTTCGTGCCTAGCAGTTGGTCGGTGGAAGAACTACATGTGGTTTACAAGAGTATTTCAGAGTAATATTCGAACTATCCCTATTTGCCCATACCCGGGGCAATAGGTGATCTTTTGTAAGAGTGAATAAACATTTGCTTTAATTTCAATAAAGGATGCATTTTTTTCTATATTCATGGCAAACACATTTTCTTTTATTTCTTTTTGAATTCATTGTCTATTTTCTTCATTTCAACACTTCATTTCCATTTCTCGGTCAAATTTAATTCTTTGACCGTTTCATGTGGGTTATTTCCTCTCACACACCCATACCTTCTTTGTTCTTTCAGGACCCCAGATAACGATAATGTAGGCACTGATGGTCTTGATCCGAAAGTGGATTTTGAATCAGTCATTTGCCTCAGAGAATTTGATGAATGCGACACTGAAGAGGAGTGTAACTTGCCTACCGAATTGTTGAGGATGGTATAAAGAGAGGAGAAGCAAATTCTACCACATGAGGAAGCGATAGAAATCATGAATTTAGGCACTGAAGATGACAGAAAAGAGGTTAAAATCGGCACAACTCTCTCGGCTGAAGCAAGACAAAACCTGATAGTCTTACTTTAGGAGTATAGAGATGTGTTCGCCTGGTCATATCAAGACATGCCAGGATTAGGCACAAATATGGTAGTTCATAAACTGCCAATTAAGCCAGAGTGCAAACCCGTGCAACATAAACTGAGAAGGATGTGACCTGAGATGCTCCTTAAAATTAAAGAAGAAGTCAAAAAGTAATTCGATGTCGGTTTCCTTCAAGTGGCCAACATAGTGCCAGTTCTGAAAAAGGACGGGAAGGTTTGCATGCGCGTCGATTACCATGATCTTAATAAGGCGAGCCCTAAAGACAACTTTCCTCTGCCTCACATTGACACGTTGGTAGACAATACAGCTGGGAATACATTCTTTTCATTCATGGATGGATTTTTGGGATATAACCAGATCAAGATGCATCCTGAAGACATGGAGAAAACCGCGTTCGTCACAATATGGGGAACCTTCTGCTAAAAGGTGATGCCCTTCGGACTAAAGAATGCTGGGGCAATATATCAAAGAGCTATGGTGACCCTGTTTCACGACATGATGCACAAAGAGATAGAAGTTTTTGTTGATGACATGATTGTCAAGGCACAAACCGAGAATGAACATGTCGAGAATCTGAGGAAGCTCTTCCAGAGATTGAGGAAGTTCCAACTAAGATTGAACCCTAGCAAGTGCACTTTCGGGGTAATATCCGAGAAACTATTAGGCTTCGTAGTCAGCAGGAAAGGCATCGAGGTTGATCCTGATAAAGTTAAGGGTATCCAAAATCTGCCTCCCCTACGAACACAGAAGAAGGTCCGAGGTTTTCTAGGTAGATTGAATTACATAGTACAGTTCATATCCCAGTTAACCGACAAGTGTGATCCAATCTTCTGTCTTCTCCAAAAGAACAACGCTGGAGCGTGGAATAAAAAATGTCAGATTGCATTCAAGAAAGTAAAAGAGTATTTGTCTCACACTCCTGTCCTGATGTCCCCTATCCTGGGCAAACCTCTGTTCTTGTATCTCTCCATATTCGAGAACTTAATGGGGTGTGTTTTAGGTCAACATGATGAATCCAGGAAGAAAGAAAGAGCCCTCTACTATTTAAGCAAGAAGTTCACCGATTGCGAGGTCAGATATTCTCCTATCGAGAATGTTTGTTGTGCTTTAGTCTGGGCTACAAGAAGACTCCGACAATACATGTTGTATTATACCACTTGGCTGATTTCTAAGTGAGATCCCCTTAAGTACATGATGGATATACCTGCCTTATCTGGAAGGTTAGCCCGATGGTAGATGCTCTTGTCTGAATTTGACATCGAGTACGTGAGCCAGAAAGTAGTCAAAGGGAGTGCCATATCGAAGTTCTTAGCAAGTAGAACCAATGAGAGTTACGAGCCTTTGGACTTTGACTTTCCAGACGAAGAATTGATGGCTATATCCTTAGAAGAAACAAGTACTTCAACGGACAGTTCATGGAGAATGCATTTCGATGGTGCATCAAATGCATTAGGACATGGCATCAGGGTAATCCTGATCTCTCTAGAAGGAAATCACTACCCATTTACCAGTAGACTGAACTTCGATTACACCAATAACATGGCAGACTATGAAGCATGTGTCTTGGGGAATCCGAGTAGCACTGGGGCAAAGCATAAAGACCTTGCGGATATACGAAGATTCAATGTTAGTAATCTATCAGCTCCGCGGAGAATGGGAAACCAAGGATACAAAGCTAATGGAATACCGGAGACTGATACTGGGTCGGCTCGAAGAATTCGATGAAGTCACCTTCCACTATGTGTCTAGAGAAGAAAATCAAATGGCTGACGCTTTAGCTACCTTGGTAGCTGCATTCAAGGCTGGCGGGGAGTCTTAAATAATGCCAATTAACATGCAATCGTATGAGTACTCGGTTCATTGTTACTAAATTGAAGAAGTGAAAGACACTAAGCCTTGGTACTACGACATTCTGCAGTATATCAAGCATCGGAGTTATCCAGAAGAAGCCACTGAAACCGATAAAAGAACCATTAGAAGAATGGCAGCTGGATACGTCCTTGACGGAGAGGTTTTATACAAGAAAAGCCATAATCAAATCCTGTTAAGATGCGTCGATGCTGAAGAGGCAAAAATGATAGTGGAAGAAGTACATGATGGAGTTTGTGGAGCACATGCAAATGGACATACGATGTCAAGACAAATAATGAGATGTGGATATTTTTTGTCCACACTTGAAAGTGATTGCATCAACTACGCTAGAAGATGTTATAAATGTCATATTTACGGAGATAAAATCAATGTTCCACCTCATCCACTTCATGTAATGACGTCACCATGGCCTTTCTCTATGTGGGGCATGGACGTTATCGGGCAAATCCATCCAAAGGCTTCGAATGGTCATCGTTTCATTCTCGTGGCAATCGATTGCTTCACGAAATGGGTAGAGGCTGCATCATATGCCAATGTCACTCAGTCCACTATTTGTAAGTTTTTGAAGAAAAAAAATCATATGTCGGTATGGTCTACCTGAAAGGATCACCACCGATAACGCTACAAACTTGAACAACAAAATGATGAATGTTGCTTGTGAGCAGTTCAACATAAAGCATCACAATTCTACTTCTTACAGACCAAAGATAAACGGAGCAGTAGAAGCAGCAAATAAAAATATTAAGAAGATAGTGGAAAAAACGACTGAAACTTACAAAGACTGGCATGAGAAGTTACCTTTTGCTTTGTTCGCCTATCGAACCTCGGTACGAACCTCGACTGGGGCAACTCCATTTTCACTAGCTTATGTAATGGAAGCAGTATTATCCATTGAAGTAGAGATTCCTTCACTTCGGGTCTTGAAAGAAGTTAAACTGGATGATGCAGAATGGGTACAATTCATATATGATCAGCTTAATCTGATAGATGAAAAGAGACTGAACGCGAAGGAGATCTGGTGCTAAAAAGAGTTTGGCCAGTCCAGAAAGATTTTTGAGGAAAATGGATGCCAAATTGGGAAGGACCTTATGTCGTGAAAAAGGCCTTCTCTGGAGGAGCCCTTGTCTTAGCTGAAATGGACGGACCTGAATTGTTGCATCCCATTAACTCGGATGCAGTCAAGAAATACTTCGCTTAGGATGAAAACCATAAAGGGCATCATAGGTTGGGAAAAAAGAAAAAAAAAACAAGAAAAAGAAAAAACGTTTAGGGTGAAAACCCGAAAGGGCGCCCTAAATTAAAAAAAAGAAAAAGAAAAAAGAGAAAAAGAGAAAAAGAAAAAAAGAAAAAAAGAAAAAAAGAAAAAAGAACGAAACAAGAAAAATAAGGTGGGTTCAAGATGAAAACCTGCAAAGGGCGTCTTGCAACCAAGGATGGGTCCAAGTTGAAAACCCGAAAGGGCGATTTGGATATCAGTTCAAGAAATACAGACAGTGGAAGCATCCCGGCGTATGAATCTTCTACAGACTCAATAAGTCGGAGAAAGGTTGCACTCTCCAGAATATTGTCGTATTTTCAAAGATCCCTTGGCAAAGGCTGCGTTCGAAGTCACTTAACGGATTTTCAGCTCAGAAGTGCCCACATTATCGTGATCTAAGACATTCGTTTACACCTCATCACGTATTCATTTTCCAGAATGTTTGTCATGTATTATTTGTTCTTTTTTTTTTCTCATGAATAAAAGACAATATTTTCTCTAAATCAATTCCTTTTGAGCATCTTGAATTGAACTTAAACTCAATGATTTATCTACTTATGAAAAAGATAATCGCATATTACTGTACAAAGATTCATTGAAAAGTACAGGTATCTGAAAGCCGATCAAGGCTCATGCACATACTTGAGATGGTCGAGAAGTATTTCCCAAATCAAGAAGCAAATAGAATGCGTACATCAGATTGAAACATTTAAAGAATCCAAGATCAAGGATTAGAACTTCAAGATTTCAAAATCAAGAGTCAACACGACGGGAAATCGGAGATCAAGATTTCTCTCCAGAGTCCCAAGATAACATATGTTGCATATGCATTTTAGGCACACCTAAGAGCATTGCATTCATAACATCGCATATATGCATATCTTTGCAGGTTTTATCTAGAGCCAATTTCAACTTCGCAGCGAAGGATATTGGACTAAAAAAACGACACAATTTGCTCGAGTAGATTTCAACTTCACGACGAGGATATCTAGCTCGAAGCCAAACTTCATAATAAAGGGGTCATACACGGTTTCAACTTCACGGCGAAGGGAATCGTGTCCACCCGCGACATACAATACTTGGATTTCAACTTCACGACGAAGGATATTCAAGTCAAGGCTCAACTTCACGACGAAGGGGCCATCCGCGATTTCAACTTCACGACGGAGGATATCGTACCCACACATCCACAATTTTAACTCCACGATGGAGGATATCGTGCCATTCGGGGCTCAACTTCTCGACGAAGGGGATTCTTAATTTCATAACCAATTTCAACTTCACAGCGAAGGATATTGGACCCAAGACAACACAAGCTCAACTTCACGACGAAGGGGTGGCTGATTGTCAACAAACAACTTTCAGAGTCAATCTAAACTTCACAACGAAGGATATTAGACTCGAGACAGCACAAGCTCAACTTCACGGTGAAGGGGCGGCTGACTGTCAACAAACAACTTTCCAGTTTCAAAGTCAATTTCAACTTCACAATGAAGAATATTGGCCTCGAAACAACGCAACTTACATTGGATTTCAATTTCACGATGAAAGATATCCAATTCCCAGGCTCAACTTCACGACGAATGGGTCGTATACAATTCTAACTTCACAAACAAATTAACCCAACTTCACGACGAAGGAGGTATCTGTGACACATCAACACCAAAGTCTTCAAGTCAATTTTCACCTTCACGACGAAGTATCTTGAGCTAGAAGGCGATCCATGAGTCACTTGCCAAAAAGCTTCAAGTTCGATTTCAACTTCACAACGAAGGATATCGTGCTCAAAAGTTTTCGGTTCAACTCGACCTCACGATGAGGGAGTCATTTCATATTTCAGTTCAAATTGACAAACCAGCCTTACATTTAATTTTAACTCTACAACAGGGGATATTCGATCTGGCCGAAATTCGTGTCTTTTAATCTTTGCTCCATTTTTGTTACACGTAAATGAGCAAAGAGGGGCAGCTGAAGACACTTAATTTCGTCTAATGCTATTAATATTATTATATTATATAATATTACAAGTTATATTGTATGATTATATATATAATATTATTAATTTTATTATTTAGATCATATACAAGCCCAAATGTTTCCAGCAGTCTCCTATGGCCCAAACCAACAACAAGCCCATACGCAGTAGGTTAGGGTTTTCAGAAACCCTAGCTTTCCATTCTCTCATCCAACGCCGCAATTTCGTCCCAGCTGAGGACTCCTCGCCACACAGCCGTATATCACTCCGATTCTCTCAGCCTCCAACCAACGTGAGCATATGGAACTCCAACAACCCGAGTTCTCCGACGCACTCATCTACAACCAACACAACAATTATATTAGTGTTATTTTCGGTTTAAAACACCTAAAAAGTAAGGTTTTTAGTCCTATAAATTCATGTAAGCAAAATCCATTTGTAACTACGTATTTCATATGAAATAAAAGCATAAACTTTTGAAATAAAACCACGAGCATTATCAAGGCAAAACCGAAGCGTTTTTTGAGTTTTTAAGAAGAACCAAAAGGTAAAGTCCATACCTTTCTTCGTTTTGGTTGCTTGCATGTCGTTGTGTTGAGTTTTTGATCCCAAAAAAGCATTTTTCGGCCGATGAACAAAGTGAGGCTATTCTTTTCGAAAACAAATTTCTAGATCTACGCCTTTCCAAGAGTTTTTTTTTGAAAAATCACTTTGCTTTTCGGGTTGTGGAGAGAAAGGGCTTTAAAAAAAAATATGGGTTTCGATGTGGACCACCTTCGGTGAGCAGCGGCGAGGCGGTGGCCACCGGCAGGAATCTGGAATCCCACAGCGATGTTCATCTCAAGGGATGAACAAAGCAGAGAAAAAACGAGGAATGGGGGGGACTTGGTTTCAAATGAAAGGAAATGGGAAATTAAGGCACGTTTTTGAGTTAAATACTCAACTCGAGGATGCCTAGTGACCCGACCCATACCCGAACGCGGTCCGCGTGTTTTTTTAAAAGGGATAAACCGTGCTTTTAAGCCTGCTGGTTTTGAAAACCTTCTATTTTAGCCCCAAATCAACTTTAATACCCCCGGTTGTTTCAGAATTTGGCCCCAACTTTGTCTTTTCTTTCATAGCAGTCCTTTATTTATTATATACATATTTTCATTTATTTCTTTTTGGTAATTCGTGTTATTAAATATATATATATATATATATATATATATATTAATTATTTTTTTCTTTTTTATGTTATATATATCGTTTTATATGTATATATTTTTAGTAGTTTATAAATCTATCATTATTACACGTATATCCTAATTAGCTTTGTTTGATTATTTTTCCATTGTAGTTTACCATTACATGCACATATGTATACGATTAACACTTTATTTATATGTCTACTATAATACTTTTTTCTGATTTTATTTTTTATTTACTTTATATTACATGTGCATATACTTATTTATTTTTACATAATATTTCATACCTCTACTATTTTTTTAACTATCATTTTACCTATTATATTAATTATGATAGCTTATTATGTATATGTATATATTCTTTACATATTTTATTATTTATTTTTTTTGCGTTTTGTTTCTATTTTGTCTTGGTTTTTGCTATTGTTCCTTTTATGTTTTTATATTTTCTTCCCTTATTTATTTATTTTTTTTTCATTTTATCTTCTGTTTGTTTATTTTGTCGTTGTATTTGTTTTCCTTATGCTATTTATTTTATTATCATTTTCGTCTTCATTGTTTATTAGCCTTTTATATCTCAATCCAATTCGGCTTCTCATTCCAAATTTAACATTTAAGTCCTTTTAAGGGTACAATTTCAAATGGATCGGAGGTAAGTAATTTTGGATCGTTATTTTACCTTTTAAGTTAAACTTACAATTTTCTTACTTAATGACAACTGGAAATTACGTAGTACCGAAAAGGCAGTTCAAGAGTGCTAACCCTTCCTTGACTGTAACCAACTCCCGAATCCGACATGTCACTGGTAAGACGCATATCAGGTAAGAAATAAGGTATCCGATCAACCCATTTTTAATAAAATAAATGATCGGTGGCGACTCCTAATCCATTTTCCCAAGTCGAAGCCCAATGCAGGGCCCAATCGAAAGACGGTTACGACAAATATATAAATAAAATACATTTACATATTAATCAATTATAATATTTGTGTATATGTATCATATTATCGTATTATTCAATTATTCTATGTTGGAGTTCTTATGAGGTATTTTTTCCCTTTTCATTTCCATTAACTATATATATTATGTCGTGATAAGTTTGTCATTTGAATGGTGTAACCCATTGGTTGGGGCGTTTTCTTTCTCTCTTGACGTATTGGGTTCAAACCTCACCAATAACAATTATTGATTCAATTTATTAAATTAAATAAAAATATTAAGAAAAAAATTCAATCACATGCCATCTGATTGTAGACTAAATTTATTGAATTAATTAAAAGTTATGACCAAATTAATTGTAAGTAATGAGGACTAAATTTATAATTATATAAAATAATATATAATGAGGACTAAATGTGTAATTATATAAATTATATAAACAATTCATCCGCGCTCGACTAAAGTTATAGAACTTTCCTATATATGAATAGTTGGATTTAAACTTCAAAATTATGATAATGGAAAGAGATGCAATTTTTTTATGATCTTTATGTGAAAGGTTTCGTAATTTTTTTCGTATGAAAATTGCGTAGATGATTTACAATATTTTAGTGTA